AGCTGCAGCTCTATCCTGAGTTCTTCGTTGATCCCTGGAATGATGCGGGGACCAGCCAGATTTTTGGCTATCTGTTGCAGAGCCGGCGATGGACACAGCCTATGCCTGAAATTGTGCGAAGGGCTAGGCTCATTCATTGTGATTTGCTGCTTCAGCCAAACGTGCACATATGAATGTGCGAATGTGGGGCTGTGCATTTTTGTGCAGTTTTGTGCAAACTGCTGGAACCCGTAAAGTGGCGTACGTTGGGCGTAAAGTGGCGTAAAAAAGCGTACGTTTTGTACACGCACATTCTGTACGGTTTCCGGCATGAATTGAATGCGTTGTGCATCTTGGCACTCGTTCGCACTCGCGTGTACGAATGCGCACATTTAGCAGGATTTTGGATTAAGCGCATTTTGCGATACTGAGCCATGCCTAGCTGCGAGACTCTTCGTGCCGGGATGTCCTTCCTGCAGGGCGAGGCATGCAAGGTTAAGGAGGAAAAGCTGGATGATTTGCTGGAGGCACATGCACTCATGCATTGCAATATATATCATGCGTGTGCGTGAACATTTGCAAATTTCGTGTGCAGGAAGCAAAGCGAGAGCTTGCTGGCTTAGATGGCGAGGATGGCGAGGACATGCAGGGCCAGGAATCTGCTGTTGAAACGCCTGCTCGCCTTGAAGTTTTTACAGAGACCCCTACACCCATCAAGAACGTTGATCCGATTCGATTTTCGGGGTTTGCCAGCCCTGATGCTGAGACTCTGGCAGCTACTCCTGAGAAGGTGAAAAACTTCTTGGAACAGGTGGCCACAAGCCAGACCATGCTCGAGATCGATGAAATTGAGGATGATGAGCTTCAGGCTCTTTTTTCACACATGCAGGTTGCCGAAGATCCTTATGAGATATCCACCGAATCTTGGGCAAAACAATTGCATGGTCGACCATTGGTTTTGGCATGCCTTAGAAGCATGAAATTTAATTGGCCGCGCTAAGGAACCATTGCACGAGGAGGGAACCTTCACAGAGGAAGAGCCCGACGATTCAGCGGTGCTTGGGTCCCTGCTGGTGCTCACGGATCTTGAGGTGGCCAACACGGAGAAGGACTGGATCTCGAGCTTGCCTCAGGGCGTTTGCGCTCAACACAGTTGCTCTGTAGGAGGCTGAGGAGTCGCTGGAGAATTCGGCAGAGGAGGATCAGAAGAATCAGAATGCACCGGCTGCGACACATGAGGAGGCAGGGATCCAGAAGTGCACAAGGTCGAAATTCGGACATGCATGTTTGTGTCAATTGTTCAATATGCGACCGTTGAACCCTTAACTCTGCCCAGGAACCTCGGGAGACCAAGCCACAGCCCACCCCTGAGCAGCTCAAGCGCCGGGCTGCGATGGGAGCAAAGCTGCGCCGCTTGTGCACACGGAAGTCGGCCTCACGGAAGCTTGAGGTGCCGGATGACATCCATCGCCGTTGGCAGTCCAGGGGGCAGGAGAGGCAGGAACTTTTGGACATCTACATCAACTGCGGTGGTGACAAGGCTCATGTTTGTTTTGGGCGGTGGCTGAACAGGTTTAACACAAGTATATATGTACATGCAGCATGCAAATTGAGCGCAAACTCTGCGTGTGCAGTCCAAATTCATCAAGACCGTGACGCACAAGTTCAAGAAATCTCGGAAGGGCACCATCAAGGTGAACTCTGGGTTCTATAGCGAGGAGCAAATGAAGCAAAAGCTGAGCTATGGCCCGTTGGCATCTTAGTTGATCTCACCGCCAGTGTGAATGCTTGACAACCTTGAAAACTGAATTGCATGCATGCATTGCTTGTTGACCAAAGGAAGAGAATCGATGCCATCAAGCGCTTCTGTATGGCAAAGGGGCGGAAGGCGACCTACACACGGCAACTTGCACAATATTATTATATGGCTTCTTGTGTGTTGCCTAGAACCGGTTCATCAGAAAAAATGGAAATCGCAATGCCTGTTTTGAGCGTTTGATTGAACCTCCAAACTCACGAAAACACGACGCATGGCGTGTTTACAGGTCTCAGTTCATCCCTCACCCCAGCTCAAACCATTCCACATAATGCATATATTGTGAAATGCAGTACACTTGTGTTCCCTTCCAAGGTCTATAGGCATGCAAACCAAACCTATTGCAATGCGCCCTGTGTTCTACAGATCCTTGAAGATTAGGAACCCAAGCCACAGGAAACCCTCCCAGCCCCATCCCATATATAAAATGCAAATCAAGCTCCAAGCCGTCCCTGTAAGGAAGGACAAGTACGAGGGCTTCCTGTATTTTTGGGTGGAGGAATCCATCAGTGGCCAATTTGAAGAAAACGAAGAAGAAGAGTTGGAGGAGACCACATCTCTTGGGACAGGTGAGGTGAACAGCATCCAGATGGGCCTGCGCAACATGGCAGGCATGGCCTTGGGCGCGCCTATGCTGGAGGGTCCTGGCGGTGGCAGCTCCCATAGCGAGGACGATGAGGAGGAGGATCATGCGACGGATCCCGGGAAGAAGCAAGGCTTGAAGAAGCTTAAGAGGGAGAGGGAGGCCAGCCCGGACTTGGAGGACAGGTTGGGGTGTGTTGCAAATATTTTGCTGCTGAGTGACAACAGCACAAAGTACGTGTACTCCATAAGTAAGTTTACGTTTGTGACTGCACTCTCACACACACATGTCTCGATAGGCGGACGACTCCAACAAGGTCCTCAATGAGCTGCTCAAGGAGGCGGCGAAGTTGGAGACCTTGGCGAAGAAACTGGATGGTCATGCTGACGACCCCCAGGCCAAGAAGTTGGGGTCCCAGGTGGTGCACGTAAAACATTACGTTAATGATTTGATGCATATGTGCATGCATGCACTGATTTTGCATTGTGCGTGTGTATTTCAACCTGAATTTGCATTTATGGGCCAAGGGCAATCGATGAGCTTGGGCAACACCAGAGCATCTTGATCAAGCTGCATGATGCGGTCGGCGAGATGAAGGCCGTCATCGACTCGAAACACAAGTCCAAAGAGGAGACAAAGTTAGGAGCTTACCCATGCCATATATGCATGGACATCTGAATTGCAACGCAAACATTTAATGACATTCTGCATGCATTTGTGTACACGGCGTGTTTCGATTTTTGAACCAACACTACCCGAGGAAGGTGAACATGGAGTTTGCTGAAAAGCTTCGTGAGATTGAGAGGGCGCCGCAACCTCAGCTGTGCAATTGCCCAATTCCTCATGGAGTGATCACATTAGAACACAATTCCTTGACTGATCCCTACTTGCAGCCTTTTTCTAATGTAAACTGAGGTGCAGTCGAGCAAATGTGGCATCAAACAAAGTCAAGAAGACCCTTGGCTTGTAAAATGGCTTTCAACCTATGCTGGGGTTTGTGCTTGAGTTGGCACGTATAACTTTACCTTTTAAAGGGGTGCCTTCCATTTGTGGCAGTGCAGTTGACCAACCTAGGACACTTCTCAAGAGATCTACGGCCCCATCGGACGGGAAGCCGACAAGCCAGCCCTCGAAACCCCGGGACACCGATGGTGCAAAGAAAAAGAAGGCGCCGGCCAAGAAGAAATCTGAGAAGAAGGCGGAGAAAAAGGCGGACAAGTGAGCGATCATCGCCTGGCCGAGGGCTTGTGTGGTTGGTCAACCAGCTTGTGCGGGCAGGCTCAGGCGTAGAGTGACCCCTTTGCACATGCAAGTGCCTTTGGCCATGCTGGTGCAAATTCATTTCGGGGGCATGGTGTCAAGCACCATCGATCATTCAGCTGTGCATAGTTGCCTATAGTGCAACGGTACTACCACTGCTGAGTGCGCCGGGGACAAAAATACAAGCCTTGGGGTTGAAACACTTCAAACACAAATGCATTTGCATGCATGCTACGTGCTTGATGGGAACGACCCGGTTTGAGCCCCCTTGCGCAGGTGGATCATCGAAGCTGGCGCCCGTGCAGAGGGCAGTGGCTGATGCAATTGGCACCGGTGTGCCTGGTCTGCACATATCATGCACGTGCTTTTTGCATATATGCAGCATGTATATCATTCATTTCACACATGCAGTCACACATGATATGTGTTTGCATGTGTCGGTTGAGTATGGTAGCACACGCATGCATGCATTTGGTTTTCCTCAAGGTCAATACGCGGGTTGCCTGCAACCTGGCCGCGGCCTTCATGCAAGAATATGGTGATGCGCACCCTGGGCATGCTAAGCTGAAGAGCTCACGCTTGCTCTTGCACATGCAGCGCTTGCGGAAAACACAGAACGAGAGCAACCCGCGTTTGTTGATCGATGAGGATTTGCAAGCCCCTTGCCCCATCACCCTGGCGGAAATCGGCCTCAAGGAGCAGCACCCGATTCTCCAGGTTGAGGACTTCCTGCGTATGCTTTCGGACACAAACAACTTGTCTTGGCTGACGGGTGGCCGTGGTTTTGAAGCATGTGCGACATTTTGGGAGCGTTACCATCATGAAGATTGCAATCATCCAGCTTTTTCTGTGCATGGGGGGCGCCTAGCCCAGGTGGTGCCAGTATACATTTATGGCGATGAGGGAACGAGCCACAAAAGAAATCAATTGTTGGTGCTGAGTGTTCAGCCAGTGCTTGGGCAAGGAACATCGTTCACTGCAGATCAACATCATGCGGACGATCTCCAGGTCAACATGTTGGGCGTAAGCATCAAAACGCGTTTTTTGTACACGGTGCTGATGGCCCGGCTTTACCAAAGGAAGCCTGCAGTATTTGATTCTTTGATGGAGGTGTTGGCCACAGAGTTGGTTTCGCTGTTCTACAACGGCATTCAGCTGGAACATGGTGGAAAGCCGTTGGTTTTGTACCCAGCTGCAGTGGGATGCAAGGGTGACTGGCCGATGCTAAAGAAAATGGGGTCGTTGAAACGTAGCCATCATGGCGGAAAGGCTGAAGCAGGGAAAGGGAAAGGCGTTTGCCATCTTTGTATGGCTGGCACTGCAGAGTTTCCCGACTGGCATGATGTCATTAATGGCAGTTGGATGTGCGACCGGTCGATACGCGATCCAGACGTGCCGTGGTTGGAGGAGTCACCGCTGACTGCTACCATCCCTCAATCAGTGACCGTGCAGCAACAGGTTTGGTTTTATCGGCCTGATCTATTCCATACCTGCCACAAGGGCTTGATGGCCGAGCTTGCTGGTAGTGCTTTGGCCACTGGGCAAAAAAGCAGTGCACGTATGTGTTCAAATAGGTTTTTGTTCTTCCAGTCGATCCACATTTTTGTTGATCACCCAGTCCAGCCCATCCCTTTTTCCAGTCCTCAGCATCGGCTGCAAGGTGAGCATGTTGGACTTGAACCTCGATACGGGCGGTGGTGCTGGGAACATCCCGGACAGGCTTCACAGCCTTTACTTGGAGATGAAGGATCATTGTGAACATGCCGGTATCCCACTACACATGTCGGACTTGACAAGAACACTTCTAGGATATGCTGATGAATCTTGCTTTCCGGTTGGGTGCCTTGGCAAGCCCTTGCAAAAGTTTGTGTTTGCCTGTAGTTTTGTGATTCCGGCTATGTCCCTGTTGCTTTTTGTTTCAAAATCGGAGATCGGGTCTGGGGTACCACAGCCTGAGCTAGAGCTAGAGGTTGGTGTTAGCTGGAACCCTGCCATAGGCTCGGTATAGTGTCGATGGATCCAACCTTAGAGGATGAAACCCGTGTGAGATTCTTTTGGCTATAGGGGACTTTTGGTGGCTAAGGGGCTGGTTCAAGGGCGCTGACACACGTGCAGCCCTTCACTTTTTGGAGCGCAAGTACAATGACATCTTGCAAGATGGTCTTGATGGGGACCTACAAAATGCAAAGGGCTTCCTCACCAACATCTGGAGGGCTGTGTGCAATGCAAATCAGTTTCTTGGGAAACTCTACCGTGCTCCGTTATTCTTATCACAGCAGCTGTCTGCAGAGATTTCCAAACATGGGCACAAGTTGGTTGCTAGATACCTGGCGGTTGCTACAGAGGCTCACTCTATGAATCTGTGTCGGTACAAACTGGCGCCAAAACTACACATATTTTGGCATTTTCTTTGGCAATTGGATCAGGACAGGCCATTTACTTTAAATCCTCTCAGCTACAGTTGCCAAATGGATGAAGACCTGGTAGGACGAACCAGTGCTTTGAGCAGGAAGGTGGATGTGCGATCGGTGCATATTCAAACGATCAGGCGGATCCTAGTTTCGCTTCGTCAGCACATTTGATCTGAGAGCGCGGCGTGAGGATCAAAAAGAATCGATCGGGGGCACACTTGAGCCAAAATGATGATCGAGTTTGTGAAACACACTCATCATGTACACATATAGCATATTTGCCCCAAAACTCCCAAAACCAAAATATGCCACAGTGGCATGGTGGCAGGAATGCCTACCACTGTGATCAGTGGCAAGTATTTTGATACACTAGGATTCCCAGGTACACATATTTGTGTTGCGGGATCCGTTCAAGGGCGCTGTGGGCTATCTTTGAAACTTCCAGATGCATTCTGCCATGGTTTGGAGCCTACTTCGCACATTGTGGCCGGCCTACCAGAAACTGCGCGCGAATTCTTCTTGCGGGAAATTCACACAACTTGCCCCTCCATTGAAACAAGGCCATGGCAAGTGGCCAACTTCAAAAGGAGCGATGTGCTTGTGTTGGGATGATGGCGCGAAAATCACCCTTTCTTGGCCAGATTTGGGCTAGACTATGCCCCGGACCCAGTTGGGGTCTGTAGCAAACTAACCCTCTTAGGTTAGCGAGACCTCCCAAACACAAAGGTAGGGGCAACTGGGTACCACCAAATAACCAGGTTTATGGCGAAATCTTGCTCATCCAAAAAAACAGGCAAGCTCGCGACATACCGCGTGCAGCTACGTCGGCCCATTGAGCAATAGGATATGATCAAGGTCATGTGGGGAAGTTGTAGCTCCATTTCGGCATCCCCTTCAAAAGGTGGCACCAGGGTTCCTTCCCCTTCTCGCGAATCCGCGCTAGACTCACATTGGCAAAACCCCTGATGAAAATGTATGCATATTTTTTCATTGTTTGTTCACTGTTCACCGCTCTTCAACCCGACCACCTCCCGACCACCAAAAAAAAATAAGCTCAGGTGATATCCCCAACAGCATGCAATGCTCTTTTTAGTGCTCGCACCACCCCGCCGCTCTCGCAGAACCTCGTGGAATCCCCGTGGAAGCCTGGTGGAACCCTGGTGGCACCCTGGTGGAACCCTGGTGGAACCCTCGTGGAACCTTGCCTCAGGGCCGCCCCGGACCACCCCGGAGCCTATCTGGGCTGAGACCCCAAAGCTTTCAGCTGTTGGGGAATAAAGAAAAGTTTATTTGCTTATCTTATATTGTTTGTGTCTTTCCTTTTTCATCTTGTTCCTTCATCACTTCAAGCCTCAGAGATAAGGAAGAGGCTTACCATGGCAAATAATAAATCCTGGAAATGTAGTGCTTTTCTTTCTTCCTCCTTCATTCTTCTTCACTGTCAAGGACCTAGACCAAGTGACGAGGAAGAAAGAATGGGACACACGAAGGAATCGTCTATTTTAGACCTCCACACATGGTCGCATCGAAACGACATGCAACAAACCTAAAACAAGATCTATATTTTTACGAATATCGAAACGTTCAAGCCTCACAACCAAAATTCACGGCGCGGCAGGGTGCAGGGTTGCTTTTGCTCCTCCGTGAAACATCACCCTTACCTTCCCATAGCTGGGCCAACTGGTGATGTCTAACCTGGCTTGACAGGAGAAAGAGTGTCCGGGGCTGCGCCTCTCACTGGGCCTCTCCAGCTCCGCTGCCGTTTCGCTCACGCCCACGGCATCCATGGCCTCCAGCCTCGATGCCAAACGCTGTGGCAGGACCCTGCTTGGGTGTTCACGCTACTTAGTTGGTTACGACCATGGTAGGGGCTAACTCCAGTTAATTATTGTTGGAACCATGGGTTGCGACCTACTTGCGAAGTTGGTTGGGCCCCACCCAAGTGGGTTTCTCCAGGCCCTCCAGTGCTGGGCTCCTCAAAAAAAGTAGCAATGAGCCACCGTTCGCTGGTTTTCGTATGGGCAAACCAAACACATCGAACTTCTGAGTTCTGAGCATGTCAGACTCCGCAGAGTAGAAGGAGGCACACTCCTGCCCGGCTTACTCACCGATGCCTTTGAAGGTGCAACTTCAGCACACCCGCGGTTCGTCTCGGAGTGGGTCCCGTTTGGCGCTCAAGCTTCAAACCACAAGAAAGGAACTCTTTACGCAAAATTGACTAGAGAGAATAGTGGGGATGCACGGGATTCAGGAGATGCAGCGCAGCGGCAAGGAATGTAGGGGAAGGCGGAGGGTGATGGGGGTGGGGGGCGAAAAGGGGTGCAACTGATAGAGGGGGATGAGGAGATGGATGCAGGGCATGTTGTAGGCTAGAGGTGATAGGGGATACAGGAGGAACACGGGGGTGCAGGCGAGTCAGGAGAGGCATTTGGATCACATGCACGGGGATGCAAGGGGAGGGGATGAATACGGAGGGAGGGGGGGAGGGGGGGGGCGGTGGACGTGGGATGGAGGATGGGGGAATGCAGGGGATGTAGCTGGGAGAGCTCATGGTGCCGGGCGTGGTCTTGCCTCGTCCTCGCTGGCCACGGCCTCCACAGTTGGCCTGGCAAGGCCATGGCATCCTTCCAACAGTTTGCGCGGGCATATGGCCCGGGAGCTCATACGCCGCAAATCGAATCAGCAAAGATTCCTTGTTTGTCACCCACTCAACATGAGCTGTGAACTCGAGAGTAGTTAGTTCCGAATGGTCCGCGCGGTTCTCGCCTGCGTTTTAAACGACCTGCGATTTCAGCTTTGGAATGAATTCGGTGCACCAAACTGTTCTGCCAAGCTTTGCAGGCAAAAGGGGCCACGATGGGGCAGTCTCTTCAAAGTTGCGGTGCGCAGTCGCAGGCAACGTGGGGTCCCTCGAAAAAAGTGAGGGATGCCCGAAACGCACACAATGGGACGGAACGGACCCCCAAAGCAAGCATGCGGTTTGGGTTGGGAGGCCCTGAACCCTTGCGGAGCTTCAAGCAAACCTCAAGTGTCTCAGGGTTAGGCTCAAATGAGCGGCCAGTTCATTGGGAACCGAGCGTTTGTCCACCTTGAGGCTGCTCAAAATAAAATAATGCCCCTTTGGGCTCTGGAAAGACCTTCACTTTTGGAGCCGTTCGAAGCTGGCTGCATCCAAACATACATGAGTCCCCCTAAAACAAGCAGGTTGTTGGCTTCCCTCCACACAAAGACCATCCAAAAAAACGGGCTCCCGATTCGACGAAGCTCGGGAGCCGAACTGCCGAATGCCGCCTGGGCGCAGAGTCCGGCTGCTCCTTCCGCCACAGGCCCTGAAGTGGACATCTGGGAGGGAACTGAGGAGCTGCGCTCCCCGGTGCGAATTCCTCCAAGCAAAAGCCAAGCAAGCAGGAGCAGGGAACGCACACCCCTCATTCCCATATCCCTTCTGATAAGTATCTGAGTGGGTTAAACATGCGGGTTTCCTATGAAAGGGACCTTCATCACGGGTAAGATCGCTCAATTTGTGCGCCCCCTTTTCATTTGCCAACATACATCGTGAGGGGTTGATTTCAATCTAAGCAAACACTTATGTTGGATACCCCTTCTGGATAGCGCCTTTGAGAAACAAACCAAAAGGACAACTTCCCGAAACAAACAATGCCATCCAGAGCAACCAGCCAAACGGAGTTCCTCTTTTGAGCCATGTACCCGGTTCTTCCAATCCACAGCTCACTGGCCTGCTGGCTTGGCTGGCCAGACAAAGTTTCAGCTTTTCTGCCCTCCACTAAAATGATGAAGAAACCGGGCAAACAAAACAAGTGGACTCCGAATCCAAACAACACAAGTTTGCATCTGAGCCATGGCCCAAGCATCACCCCTTGCGGAAACTCACCCTTGGGCCAAAAAAGTAAGGCGACGTTTGAAATCACCAAGGGAAATATTATCGGGCCGTTTATGAAATCGGAACTGTGGGGCGCCTGTCGCCCGAGCCAATGCTTTTGGGATCCCCGGCGGAGAAAAGGCGGCGCTCCAGCTGCGGGAAGCCCCGCTCCGCGCGCTGTGGCCAGGGGGCCTCCTGCGGCGTGCAAAGCAGGCGGTGCGCATTAGCAGTCTATCAGCGGCTTCCCCATTTTTTTAATATATATATATATAAAAGAAGAATCCTTGGAAAGATGGAAGGAATTGGAAGCCACCCCCTAGAAACACGCCTTCAAATTGATTTGGGTGGCTTCTACGTGGGTAAACAAGCGCTAAAGCCAAGAAACAACCTATGACGAATGCTAGGTATGTGCGAGGGAGCGTCTCTGAGAAAATGATTACCCTTGGTTGGGGCCTCAAGGTCACCCTCCCAACATGGAATGGGGGGGGGAGGAGGTCCTGGAAGACCGTCTTCCTTTTAAAGGGACCCCTGTCAAGTTCCATGTCAATTGGTGCAAGAGCACTTTTTTCTCCCGGTATGCAAATATTTCCGACATTGGATGTTCTTTGCGCAGCAAAGTTGGGCAATGACCCTGGGAGAACAGTTGGGACTTTTTTTGAGCTTAGCAGTTTTAAGTGGGGAAGCCACTAAAATGAACCAAACAAAAAGGAAAACGGTGCCACTGAACAAATTGGACAAATACAAAGCACTGTACTAGCCATGGGCACTGTTACTAGCCATGGACTTAGGAAGTAAAGTGCTCCTGGTTTTTCCGAGAAATTTCGCGAGTCCCCCATGTCCCACCTGACTTTCTCCTTTCCTACGCCCAAGTGGTGGTTGGTTTGGTGGCTGGGTTGGGACATCTTCCCAAAAAACAACAACGCTTCGATGGGCTCTCACCGCGCGGTTTTTCGGTCCAGAGTTTTCTGTCTGTTCAATGCGTCTTGGGGTTTTTACGCCCACAGACGCTGCTTGTTTTCATCGATGTTCAAATATGCCCATTGGGGCAATGATGATAATGTGCGTGCGTGAACGTGGATGCTGATCATGTGGCAGACATGCACGCAACGATGATAATGTGTGCGTGAACGTGGATGCTGATCATGTGGCAGGCATGCACGCAACGATGATAATGTGCGCGTGAACGTGGATGCTGATCATGTGGCAGGCATGTACGCAATGATGATAATGTGTGCAATGATGATAATGCGCGCATGCACGCAACGATGATAATGTGTGCAATGATGATAATGTGTGCGTGAACGTGGATGCTGATCATGTGGCAGGCACGCACGCAATGATGATAATGTGTGCAATGATGATAATGTGTGCATGCACGCAATGATGATAATGCGTGCGTCAATGTGGGTGCTTATCATGTGGCAGGCGTGCGCTCAGTCATGAAAGTGTGCCCGTGAACGCAACATACGCCCACTGCTCCAAACCCGCGCGCAGGTCGTCAAAAATGGCCCTGAAACCCTTGTTTACAGTGGGAAACGAAACGCGAAAAGCGCGCGGAAACACCCCATCGGAGGGAACAACAAGGACCTGAAGGTTTAACTGGCACAAGAAACCAATTCAAGCCAGGAAATCTTCATTCATGTGGAACTCGGATTGACCAACCTGGTGGATACAAAAGGGTGTGGTTTCCAATCCGTAGCCCCGAAAGCGACAGGCAACATCCAAACAAATCAAGGGGGTCACTAGTCACTAATCCTAGGTTCCCATTCCTTAACAAAGCTCCCTGAAGATCCGAAGCGTGCAAGCAACCACAAAAAAATCCGCCCCTAGGTTGCCAGCGAGCAATCTGATGGCCTGGAAACTTACTCAAAAGGGAAAAACTGACGGACCTTGGTTGAGGGTACCCCTTTTTTTGAGACAAAGCATGACAAAGCCATTTTCTTTCCCCGATCCGTTGGCGCCTCGGGCTCCTCGCTCGATTCCTCGTCCACCCATGCCTGAGAAACACGAACTGTCATATGCGCAAAGGCATTCAAACCGTTTGTTGGTTCGGAGCGCTTGGATTGGACCAGAGTGGCTGGCCGGGTGAAAAAATATCAGGTGCGCTCAGACGTTTGTGTGAAGGGCAGAAGCTGTGTGCGGTGATTTGCCGCTGGCAAATGCCAGGAACACGCGAGTGCAAAGCCTGGCTTGTCCTGCCCTTTCATAAACGATAACCTCCAGTGGCTTAGATCCCCCGGAAAAATACTCGTATTTCCTATAGTGATAGATTATTTAAAACCAACAAGGGGAAAACGACATTAGCTCGTATTCTGCAGATTCTTCAGCAAATGGAAGCCAACTTCCGTTCTACTTCCGGAAAAGCCAACCCGCCAACACAAGGAAACCATCACAGGCGCTGAGGCGCCCGGGCGAAGAACTTGCAGGCCTCTTTGGGGCCGTTGGCGCAGCATCGAAAGCGTCGCCCCGTGTTGGGTCCTCTGCTGATTTGGGCGCGACATCCGAACTCGGGTGCTGATCCAGAAGCAAAAACAAATCAGACCCATTTTTGTTGGGCGTGTTCCCTCCAATGGTGATAAACAAGTGGTGAATCCCCACTGACAGGGGACACCCCTCTATGAATCAACCAAGAGTTTAGTTCTCTGGGGTTCCAAGTAGTTGACTTAAAAGGGAAACCCATCAACAGAGGAAACAAGGGCACTGGAGGTCTGGTTTCCTTCTTCAGCCAATGGAACATCACCCGCTCTCTTTGGAGCCGTTTTCGCATGGGCCCTGGTCTCCAAAAGATCTTCAAACCAAGGGGAAAGAAAGGTGTCTTGGCTTTAACACCCACAGGTTCAACGACACCCCATATAGGAGCCGGCTTTCGGCTCAGGTCCCCACCTTCCTTTTTCACTGTGCGCTCGGCTGCCTCAGTTGGTCTGGCAAAACGGTCGCGTCCTCTTGATGAGATGCCAATGGCTATGTGACTCATCGCCTTGGATACAACAATTCTGTTTGGGAAGGAAGTATCAACTTCGAGTCACAGATCTGCAACGTGCTTCTGACTTATGGAAACTTGCAGTTTACAGCAACTCACGCTCATCTGTCCAAACCTTGAAGTACCCTTTTTGGAATGTTGACAGTGGACCACATCAGGGAAGGAAAAAGGTTAACAGGTTGGCTCTGGCTCGCTTCCTGAGTGGGTCTGCAACACATCCAAAGTTTTGGTTTCCACCAAATGGTCTTCAAAAGTTTGAGGTCCAGGAACTCAGGGAGCGAGTTGGGCAAGTCAGCAGACAGTTGCAGCAACTTGCCGCCCCACTTTTTGCTGGGTGGCCGGCCGCTTGGCCACACTTGCACATCGCCGGCGCCTCGATGCGGCGTGCGACATGATCGTTCGAAACTGGCCCGCAAAATACGCCACACACAAAGAAAACAGCCAAAACCTCTGTGAAGTGAGGAGGAACAAACCTGAGCGATGGGAAATGAGCTGGGCTACGCCTGGGGATTCCTCGATTTTTCAGCCAAAGCCACGTAGCCTTAAGCGAAGCTTGCTAGAGCTTCAGCTCGGAGCCCGACGTCTTTGGCAACGCAGGGGGCCTTCAAATGACCTGACAGGGAACTCTGAGTTCAAGTGTGGGATACTCCAAGTGTTGTGTGTGTGTGCGCGTGTGATTCTGCGGGTGTGTAAGCCGCTTCTTTATTTTTCTTTTTCTTTTTTTGGGTGGGTGGGGGGTGGGTGGCGGGGCCGCCTTGCATGTTTTTGTTTTTGTCGGGGGAAGAGCAAATGCAGTTGACTCCCAGAATGCTGCAAAACCACCGGCAAGCCATCGCCAACATGCAGTGCTGTGCAGAGCTTTCTTGTTTGCTGCTTGCAATGCTCAAAGAACCAATCTTATCCCTCTAAGTGACTAACTCTAAGTGGCTGGTTGGCTTCAGGGACACGTTGGGTGTTGACACAGGGGCCTGGAGCCCGGGGGAGCTTGTCAAAGGCCTGGCTATGACTTGACTGATCAGAATGCAAGTGCCTTCGACTTCGTTCCGAAATCGCATATGCTCAAAGATGCGGAAGAACTCCACCGTGTAGGCATCCGACCTAAGAATCTCACGGTGCCTGCAGCACAACATATGGAAGGCATCCACTACCCCCTTCCCACGTAAAGAGTTGCCCCGCTCTCCTACCTATGGCTCTGGTAGTTCAAGGCTTCTCGGAAATTGAAGGTGCAGCCACCTGGCATGCCTCTCAAAATCGCGGACTCCAAACGTTATACTTTCCCGAGTCTACGGTTTGGTCTCCTATGTCTCCCTTCAACCACCTTCCCGCCGGGGGGGGGGGCTGTTGGCCGTTGATGCCTGGATCCCCAGGTCCAAATTCTGTCCCCTCATGGCCACTCGCTCCGCGTGCGAGTCGCCCACAAGTTCCGATCCCCGCGCACCAGAATCATGTTCTCCTGGCAGAGCTTCTCGGAAAATGAGAACCAACGGCGGGGCGCGCCCCGCTGTGGTTTTTCTCCATGTTTGGGTGGCTAGTTTCTCTCTTGTTTTGTCAGGGCTGTAAAAGGGGAGGGGGGGGGGGGGCAAAAGGACCCCTTTGTCATTTTGGGGTGGAGGGTGCCCTCAATTTGAGGATGAACCAATCCAAAACTTTTAATTTGATGTAGTAACCACTCTTAGAAAAACATAAGCGGCTCCAAATCCTCAACCCCAATGGAAAAACCAAACAAGGGTTTGAGGATTTCATTCCTACGGGCCCCCAATAGGGGTGAGGGATCAAAAAAAACTTTTTAGGCATCAAAAAAACTTATTTCTAAAGATCAAAAAAAACACTTATTAGGCATCAAAAAAAACTTATGCTCATTGACTTACTATTAAAAATGGAAAATCAGAGGATCAAAAAAGAACTTTATAGGCATCAAAAAAAACTTGTTCATTTCAGGAAGCACTTTCGCAAGGTCAGGTACAGATTTCGTGGCACGCGCGGCACTTTCGCAAGGTAGGCGAAATGCTTTCGCAGGTCAGGTACAGATTTCGCGGCAGGCGCAGCGCTTTCGCAAGGCGCGGTGCAGATTTCGCGGCAGGCGCAGCACTTTCGCAAGGTCAGGTACAGATTTCGTGGCAGGCGCAATACTTTCGGAAGGTCAGCCAGATTTCGCAGCAAGCGCAGCACTTTTGCAAGGTCAGGGACAGATTTGCGGCAGATGCAGGACTTTCGCAAGGTGCGGTCCAGATTTCGCGGCAGGCGCAGCACTTTCGCAAGAGGTGCCAATTTCGCAGCAGGCGCAGCACTTTCGCAAAGTGTGGTGCAGAGTTTGACGCAGGCGCAGCATTAAATCAGCGGGGGGGTTGGGGGGGGGGGCGGCAGCCCCGCAGGGGCAGCACTTTTGCAAGAGGTACCAATTTCGCGGCAGGCGCAGCACTTTCGCAATACGGTGCAGAGTTTGACGCAGGCGCAGCATTAAATCAGCGGGGGAGTTGGGGGGGGGCGGCAGCCCGCCCCATGATGTTCGAAGAAGTGATGATTCAACAAAGGGTGGTGATGATCGAAGAAGTGATGATTCAGCAAAGGGTGCGGTAATCTCTGCAAACATTCTGAAAATCAGCGGGGGGGTTGGGGGGGGCGGCAGCCCCCCCCATGATGCTCGAAGAAGTGATGATTCAGCAAAAGGGTGCGTTAATCACTGTCAACCTTCTACAAATTAGCGGGGTGGGTGAGGAAGGTCAGGTACAGATTTTGCAGCAGGCGCAGCACTTTAGCAAGGTCAGGTACAGATTCGGCGGTCCGCAGGCGCAGCACTTTCGCAAGAGGTACCAATTTCGTGGCAGGCGCAGCACTTTCGCAATACGGTGCAGAGTTTGACGCAGGCGCAGCATTAAATCAGCGGGGGGGTTGGGGGGGCGGAGCCCCCCCATGATGTTCGAGGAAGTGAAGATTTAACAAGGGGTGCGCAAAGCTCTGTAAGCATTCTACAAATCAGCAGGGGGGTTGGGGGGGCGGCAGCCCCCCCCATGATGCTCGAAGAAGCGATGATTCAACAAAGGGTGGTGATGATCGAAGAAGTGATGATTCGCACCCTTTGCTGTAATCTCTGCAAACATTCTGAAAATCAGCGGGGGGGTGGGGGGGGGCGGCAGCCCCCCCCATGATGCTCGAACAAGTGATGATTCAGCAAAGGGTGCGTTAATCACTGTCAACCTTCTACAAATCAGCGGGGTGGGTGAGGAAGGTCAGGTACAGATTCAGATTTCGCAGCAGGCGCAGCACTTTAGCAAGGTCAGGTACAGATTCGCGGCAGGTGCATTTTTTTCGCAAGGTGCGGTCCAGATTTCGCAGCAGGCGCAGCACTTTCGCAAGAGGTACCAATTTTCGCGGCAGGCGCAGCACTTTCGCAATACGGTGCAGCAGGCGCAGCATTAAATCAGCGGGGGGGTTGGGGGGGCGGAACCCCCCCATGATGTTCGAGGAAGTGAAGATTCAACAAGGGGTGCGCTAAGCTCTGTAAGCATTCTACAAATCAGCAGGGGGGTTGGGGGGGGCGGCAGCCCCCCCCATGATGTTCGAAGAAGTGATGATTCAACAAAGGGTGGTGATGATCGAAGAAGTGATGATTCAGCGAAGGGTGCGGTAATCTCTGCAAACATTCTGAAAATCAGCGGGGGGGTTGGGGGGGGCGGCAGCCCCCCCCATGATGCTCGAAGAAGTGATGATTCAGCAAAGGGTGCGTTAATCACTGTCAACCTTCTACAAATCAGCGGGGTGGTTGGGGGGGGGTCCTTCCTTCCTTCCTTCCTTCCTTCCTTCCTTCCCCCCATAGGAATGAGCATAAGTTTTTTTTTGATGCCTAATAAGTTTTTTTTGATGCCTAATAAGTTTTTGTTGATGCCTAATAAGTTTTTTTTTGATGCCTATCCCCCCCAATAGCAACCTCCATTAAAATGGCTCCAGGCCCTTCAGCATCACTGAGCTTCCTGTGATGATTTGCCACCAAACACTTGGCTTTCTGGGTTGTTCAGATGGTTGAGGCCCATTTGGCACAGCTGCCTGAAGCACAGGCCGGGCAGTCGTCGTTGGATTCCATGGACGCACGGGAGAAGTTGCCGGAGCCTAAAGAGCTGTGGGCCGGGTTTCCACCAAAAAAACGAAAGAGAAGGACGGGTAGGAAAGGCAGCCGTTTCTCGTACTGACCATTTTTAACAGCTCACTTCCTGAGTTGATTGGCAGCAACAAGTCTTAGCCTGTTTTTCACTACTAGAACGGTCTTCCCAAACAGGAACTCAGGGAGTGAACCAAAAGGGACAAAAGGTGCCAAGCAACTGACAAGCTGTGTGGCAAAGCCAAGGGGTCCTGAAGTTGAAGAAATTTGCAAATCCGGCATGGCTATATGGATTTTGTTTAACCCAGCCACGAAACGAGAAAACGACACGGGCCAATTTTTATTACACTTCAGCTCCAGCTTTCTCAGGGGATATGAGGCTTGGATGTGTCCCTTGAGCAGATTGCAAGGGAGGGAATAGAGACGGAGAGAGAAAGAACGAAAAACCACTGGGCAGGACAGGTCCGGCTTCAACCAGAGAAGCGTCGGCGAAGTCGCCCGGTTCTGAACTTTCTCAAGTCTCAGGGACTGGCCGGTGACCACCTGGCGCATCGGATTGCATATGCAGCCACGCCGCACCACGAAACCAGTAAAAAATTAAAATCCGGGGAAAACAGGGGGGGAGGGGGGGGGGGGGGCGGAGGGGGGAATTCCCTGGATCGCATTGCTTCCTCTTCCTTGCAAATTGGTATCCGCTGGACTTGTCTCTGGGGGCTCATTGGGACCCTTGCAAAAAAATAGGCAGGTTCCCTTCCCACATCAAGCGTCAAACCCGAGATGCAGCCGAGGTGAGCTATAAGGGCCGCGCAATGGGCTGGTCCGAAAACATGTCGATCAGCAAGATCTTGGTGTGAACGTAGCGGACCTCAGCTCAAGTGCCAGATCAGCCCAATGTGATGCCAGAGCGCATCCCCTTCGCCACTCTCGGAAAGTGGCCGAAGGGACTTTGGTACCCAGGCGGTATCCTCGGCGGGGCTCCTTGGGGAAGCCTGTCATGAGCTTGGTCAAGAGGGCTGGCCACTACCCATGTCCTCCCAAACATCATTCCCACCGTCCCGCAATTGCGAGGGGGGGGGGGGGGGATAAAAGCAGCGGGCGCACCGCGTTGCCGTCCGATGGTCTCCTAGGGTCCCCGCGTGCTCATTGAGGCCGGTCAGCTTCTCCGGAACCCAGGCACCACCTTGTGCGTTGGATTGCGTTGGGGTGCTCCGTTTCTCGGGGACCGCCACAACCGACGAGTCCCAGTTGCCCAAGAGACCCACAAATCAAAGGCTCTCGCCAGGTGAAAAGGTCGATTCGCTTTGGTGAGGTTTCCCTTTTCCCTTCTGGCTGGCGCCAGGGATGGCAGCGGCTGAATCCCTGGTCCTCCTGCTTAGAACTTGTTGACTGACCCAATGAGCACCGCCTTCTGCAAAGCTCCCATATTCCTCCTCAAACACAAGCTACTTTCTGAGGAATAAGTTCGACCCCGGATGAATAAACCCTGGTTGATTAATGCGGGGGTGTCCCGTTTTAGATGGGATGGGTTTATGAATCCAGGGTCAACATTACTATTTCTTATCGGCAAAAAGGGGATGCTTGACCAACTTGTGGGCAAACGCGCGAAACCCGATTGTTGGCAGGGTGTCCAACAAAGGGTCCACAATGCGTGACTGCAAGTTTCCTGATGCCTAAAACAACTGTGCGTTCTGCACCGAGAAAAAGAAAAAACACGTGGTTTGCACTTTTCTCCTCAAGAGCTACACGCAGCGAAGTACATGCCGCTAAGCGCATGCAGCTAGATGCAGCTACATGCCCATCGCGCTGCAACGTTTCTCTGGGTCCTCGTCCCAGCACCTTTGAAACAGGCCACAACGGTTCTTCCATTGTTGCGTGGTAGACGACCTCGTGGCATAGCCATAGCAGCCCTTTTGGCACTCCCCCCCAACAAAAAAGCAAACACAGCACTTGTGCCCGGTCTTCTCATCCACCGTCCCGTCTGCCTCGTGCATCTTCTCTGCAACTGAGAAAATAGCCTGCCGCTGATGCAGCTTGATGACTTGACGTGTGCCAGTTGCGCACACAGCCAGGAGCATGATGCTCGCAGCTCGAAGCTTGCTGAGAGCTGTTGCGGGCTCTGCAACATCAAGCCTGGAAGTGCACGCACTGTAACCTCCATTCCTGCCGATCTCTGCAAACGACCATGCTTCCAACGCTGGAAGCAAGGAATCTACCAATGAGCCGGGTATAAATTGAGCGGATGGCCGAACATCTTTTTCAATGCGCCACTGAGGTCCAAACTGCTCCCACCGGCTGCCTGGCGCATTCAAGGCTTCCACTTTAGTTGGACAAATGCAACTCTTGTTTGGGGTTGATCAATGTTGGTGAAACAACCAACCAAACAAGCGAAAAAGGGTGAAAAATGAATTAGATAAGCTGTGCTACCAGTGCTACCGAAGTGTCAGGCCAATGGCTACCCTTTGGTATCGCAGAAAGCGGCCGCAAACCAACTTAGTAACTTTCCGTGACAAGCAGAAGTCTCCAGCTGGGAACGGTTGCCTCCAGGTGCGTGCCAAAAGCTACCCGCACGTTGCTGAGGCCTCAGGTGTTCGCCGAGCCCAACAACGGAAAAATAAAAGAAAAATAAAAAAAAAGAAACAACAAAAATAACAAGCTCACAACAAGACCTAACAAGGTCACAACAAGTTCCAAGGGCAAAGGGATCGCTCCATGAGTATGCACTTTACATGCCAAACTTATTTGCATGTCAAGGGCCTATATGGCAGACTGTGGAAGAAACTCGAGACCTTATGATTTCTCGGCTTGCCTTAGCCCTCCTGCTTCAAGCAGCTTTGATGCCTTCGCACTGCAAGGATTGTTCTCAGCCGTAACTCTCTGGGATAGCGATACTCTGGCAATGCTTTAAAATAATCCACCACAAATTTGTCAAGCACCACTCTAGTTGCGACCCGAAGCTAATCAAACGCCCCCACGCGGTGCGCTCAGTATGAATCGGCAAGCAGAGCACTGTTGCGGGAAAACGTGCGTCAAGTCAGTGTACCAGGGCATCGCCCAAAAGCCGATTGGATGAATCAAGCTACTGCGGATAAGAATTCAACGAAACAAGCTCTCAACAAGTCGCTAGTACAGCCGTGAAAGAAGCCACAAACCATGCATGGCCCAACTCAGGTGACACAAGAACATCCTCAGTCAGTTTCCTTTAGATTGTCAAAACCACGTCTTGAGATAGAGTGCTTGGTCAACCCCAGTGCGCCACCCTCAAGCCGACAAGGAACCTTTGAACGCTGCGTACAAGCAAGCATGGAACCAACTTTTGGCGATATCAAAGTTGCGACTGCCCTTCACCTTCCACTTTCAGGATTGAAACCGTTTGGTGTGGGAAACACTCCCCCTGAATCCGGCAAGGGTCCATCTATGAAGGCACCCGGCAAAAGCTAAGCTCAGCTGCTGACTCACTCGGCCCAGTTTCCCCTCAGGCCCTGACGTTGCAGCTGCTGAACTGCCTGCGTTTGGCGAGCGTCACGGGCTCGGGATTGACTCCCTCGCTCGGTGGGGGGAATATCCAACATGGCCAAATGACCTCTTTTGGGCGGCCAACGCTTTACCATGCTTGAGGCTTCCCGCGATGAAACCCACAGAACCTCGAGACACGTACACCCTTGGCTCCCTCGTGATGAAAGCTGCTCATGAAAGCTGGATCTGCAGGTTTACGGATATCGTTGCAAAACATACACAGTTACACGCGCAACGGCACACACATTATGCGCATGCTGTACACCCCCCCTGCGCAGCACGTAGTGCATGCTTTGGATGGGCCATGATTCCAATTCCTGGAGTTCATGAACCTCGGAAGCAAAATCAATGCTTGATCTCTCGCAGCTCGACCGCTCACGAGAAGGGAATGGCAGAATGATGCCTAGGGGATGCGCTGCTGATTGCCGAAAGAAAGCAGCTTCACTACCTGCTACGTGCAGGGCCTTGCCAAAAAAAATGCATGCCAATGCTAAGTAGGGAAATCGACACCTACTACCGACTCCCTCCAAGCGAACCAAGGCGACCTGACAAACGGGCCGCTTTCCTTTCGACTTCCTCGACAAAAGTGCCGAATGCGCCTCCCGGGAAGCTTGCCAGTTCCCCTGGCTCTCCAACAGCAAATAGGTCGGGATCGCCGCGCCTGGCAGGTGACTGTCGCGTGCACGGCCGGCAAGGGGGGATGCACTGAGTGAAGAGGATCTTCTGTATCCATGTCTTCCCCGTACACAACCCCATGAAAAGAAACCGCACGTTGAATTTGGCCAACAAATGCTTTCCAAATCCACCAAGGACATATAAGCGCCGTGGGTGTGGATTCTACTGACCCGAAATGGTGGACATGATTTAGGTACCGATTCATCACATTGACTCTTCAGGTGGTCCCCTATTGAAACTCATAATCCTGCGATCTCCACAGTTGGGAGCTCACTGCATTCGAGACCAAGGCTCTTGCCTATGCCCTCGCTGCCCGCTGCCAGCAATGCAGGCGAAATCTCACGACCTTGGGCGAACGCCAAACTTTTTGCGCTCCTTGCAGGATTTAGGGCATCCACCCGACTAGGAATTTCTGAACCACAGGGCAATGCTACAAGCGTTGCGCAACGCAAATGGCCAACCGCCAGCGCTTGGCCAACTGTTTTACCTTTCGGAGGCTGAGACTTCGGCAGACATAAAACACGCTGCATCAAAAGGGACCATATCCTTGCTCTTGCGGCCTGGGGATCCGGTCTGATGCCGAAAGCTGCAGTGAAGGCGACACTGTGCCTGGCGATGGAAAGCCATGCCTGAAACTGGACAACATGTCCAACGCAATGGGCGCCCAGTGTCAAACAACAACACGTTCATGTTGGACGCAAGTCAACTATAATAAGCAAATGATCTTGGGCACATGCCGCCGACATCAATCCACAACATCTAGTCCGCCTGCAAGCAAGCGGTCGACATGTGCGAAGAAAATCCACGCTGCATCTTGTGCGGCTCGACCAGGTGATGCGCAGTAGTCATTCTTCGAATGTCCACGCTCTCCCACTTGCCCAAGGTTTTGGGGGCAAACAAAAAGCGCATTGACCGCTAAGGCGGGGAGGTGCAACACAGGAACAACAAATTTGTTGTTCTTGAGGCTATCCTGTTTAGGCTTGTCTTTTTGTTCAGGGAGTTCACAAAACACATCAAACCACCCTTGCCATGTTGTGGGGTTCCCTCCAAAAAGAAAAAGACCAACCCAAATAGACCTGGCCCTGCAGAATTTCTCGAGCGGCTGTTCCCCGGGCCTGGCTCTGAGAATCAGCTGGGCGATGAAGGCCAAGGAATCTGCCCAGCCTTTGCTTGCTCGTTCGCCACACGTCCGGTGACCCCCCCACCCAAAAGCAAAGGAGATAAACTCGGGTGGCTCGTCTGTTGCACGGGGAACCTCTTTTTGGTATTTAATGGAAACCAAAAGGCCAAAGGAAACCAATCATTTTGGGGGTTCCTCTACCTTGAGAGAAACGCCCCCGTCGGCGCATGGCTAACATGACTGACCTCCTGGTTTGACATCACTCCCAAAGTGGGTCCCCCAAAAGGAGGCTTCTCTCAAAACAACGGTTTGTTGTTTGCACACCTTTTGGGGTTCATCATGTTTCTCTCAAACACAATAAACACAATGGCTTCGGAAAGTCTTGGGGGCACATCCCCGCAAGGTTCATATTTGCTACAAACTGAGCCAGTCTCCCACATGCTAGGGCTGTTTGTACAATCATCCCCCGTCAGTTTAAGAAAAGGCTAACCTCCATGCCACATCCTCTCCCACGGGCATACAGCATTTGCGGGCTGCTAAGCAGGGAACTGAACAAGAAATATGTAGTATAAACCTTTCGCCTTTCGTACATGCATGTGGGCCCACCTGTTGCAAAAGGTGATGGGTCCACACCCAATGCGACAAGTGGGCTTCAGGCGAGTACCAGGAGAACGACAACTCAGTCTTTTGAAGTGCATTTGAAGATCAACGGTTTTTTAGCCGCCAGCTGGAAGCTGGCGTTTGATGGAGGACCTGGCCCAAATGTTCAACAACTTGCATCAGGAGGTTGGGCTTGGAGAAAAGTCGAACTGCTGAAGGCAACGCATCCCTGGAGTCTACTTGGCTGGAAACTGGCGCGAGCAGCAGTGTGGCCACTGGCCGGTGCTCCCTGGCCAGCCTACTGGCCTGCTAGTTGATATTCCTGGGGCAACATGCGGGCTTGCCAGTTGTGAAGGGACTTCCAACTTCCTTCTCTCCCCCCAATTTGATTCTCAGGAGTCCTGCATCTCTCCCTGACAAACCAACAGTTTGCCTGTCAAGTGTCCCTTAACACGCTTCTGGGTTGATGCGGGATTCGGCTCACACGATCACACGCCGAGCGCGGCGCGCAACCGAGGGGAGAAAAGCACAAGGCGCGTCCAGTCTTCCTGGAAAGCACGGATTTCCTCGAGAGAATCAGGATCCCTAACGCACAGAAACGTCTGGGCCGACCCTCCATACAAACTGTTTTCTTGCACCTGCAAATGGCAAAGGCGGGGCTGACTAAAGCATCTGCATCTTGGGTGTGGCTGGTAACGTTAAATCCCAAGTGAGGGACCTTAATAATGGGGCCTCAGATTGTCTTCTCCCGAATCCTTTGGCTGATTTTGCGTTTGTCCAGGTGATTTGCGAGTCCGTTGGCGAGTTTTTGCATATTGTGGCTCATACCGTAGCCTTCGGAGTCCAGAGAGGGAACTTGACCTGGGGGTGCCAACCTACCTTCGGGGCACATGTCTGGGATGCGAATTCCCGTAGTTGCCACCTTGGGTGCTACCGTGGATGCCCCAACATATCGCAAGTAAACCAACCACCCCCACCCACAAAACCACGTGAAGTTACGGCAGGTCAGGGGGGTCCTTGTTCCACGACTTGCAGAATTTTGGGCATGTACCACATAACCCAGCGGTCAAAACCTTGCGACTGGCGCCGTGCATGTTCGAGTACTTTTGCGGATTCTCACTCAGCGTCAAGAGCCAAGTGAGCGAGGTATGCAAGTACCTGATGGTTTCCACCATAAGCTCTGCATCACTTCTTCCTGGACACACTCACCAATTTTGAAACACAACGAGCAGCTGGAGGCCCCGCAAACTGCACGTTTTCCCCGTGATTTTCCACTGGAGCAACTATGCAAACATACCGTCGAAACATACACAACGATCTGCGCCTAGGAAAATATCATCGAAGCCTTCTTTGAGAGAAGCATTGGCTTTGGGAAGTGCCACACGTGACGTCATTCGGGCCTTGGGCAGCGGGGTCAGCTTCTCATTGAAGGCAGCGAGGTCCTGGCCACCCTCAAACGCCCCTCGTGTCAAGGGAGTGTCCCTTTAGGCCCCCTAAAGCCACCAAAAGAGGGGAACCCTCAGAAAAGACAGACCCATAAAGGAAAAAGAAGCCCTATGTGCCACTGACCAACGGCCAACCACCAGCCTCTAAGCAGCAACCCTCAAAAGCGGACCAAGGGTTTGTCTCAAAATGGCAGACCCCCAAAATTAGATCGTTTCCAGTGCTCCTCAAAACAAGCCCGAAACCAGCAACTCCATCACGACATGGGTGTCTCGAATTGGGCGACCCCAAAAATGAAAACCAATCCCACAACAACACCAACTCCAAAAAGGGCACATCCCCAGAAAGCCGACATCGGCGGGTTCCTTCTTCTCTGGATCCTCGGCCAGTCTTTGCCAGTAGGCCCAGTACTTCTCACAGAGTGGGCGCCTCCCAGCATGGTGAGTTTCTGTCTTTGGTGGTTGGATTGATGTATTGCTGGTTTGGTTGGCATTCCAAAAGCGGTTTCCCATTTACCTCTACTGTACGAGAAACAGAGGTTGCAATCCCAAAATCCAAGCCACCAAGCAAGACTTACCTGACATAAGGTCGTAAGAGAGGGGAGGCTGAAAGGAAAGCAGCGCCTTGGGCTCTCTCAAAATAGGGAATGCCCGTCTGGGATGCAAGGCTTGTTGGAATGGCTTCAGGACAAAAATGCAACACTTCAGTCCTGCTAGTTTCACCGATCGGCTTCGCCATCTCAATCATAGCGAAGGTAGCATCCACTTGCTCATGTTGCAGAAAAGTGCCGCGCACCTTCTGGAACCTCTGGTTGGATGGACCCCCACAGAAAACCATCCACCTGATGGCTGGAGGGGTCCCACATTTCAGAAGCACCCACATATCACCCTCCACTTGTTTGGCGCGATTTGGATTGGCGGTTGGGAGGGTGGGGGATGGGCTGGATTCTCGATCGCCCTCAAGAAAAGACTCTTGTCCAAATCCAAATCCCCAAGCTCCATAACTAGCCAACCACCAGTACAAACCACAAATCCCCCCAACACAGCTGAATCAGCTCCATCTGTCAACCTCAAGCAGCAGTTCCCAAGAAGAAACTGGACCCCTATTTTGAGAAACCCATTTTGAGATCACCCGTGGGAAATATAGGGACCAACTCCCCAAGTGAGGCCCACATGCTGAGGCGCCGGCTGCGTTACCACGTGCCCCACGTTGGAGTGGCCGAAGATGGCCCCTGCTGTGACGTTCGTGGACCCGGTCCTCGTTTCGCAGGCAGGGGCCATTTGTGGGGAGGGTCGTGCCGCTGGTCAGCTTTTCTTGAACATGTGTGGCTTGGGGGCGGCTGGGTGGCACGTGGCAGGTGGGTGGTGGGTGGGTGGTGGGTGGGCGGCGTTGGTTGGTTTGGCTTGGACTGGTGGTGCGGATCGGTGTTCAAGGGGAGGTGTTCCATTTACCCGCGCAAGAACCAGGGGTTTGAATCCCAACCGACTAATCCAACAAACCAACTAAGGAGTACCTGATCCGGGGTACACGGACAATATGTTCAGATTTGATTTCACATTGTTAGTGACAAGGTGCATTCGCCCCATGAAAACTTGAGCAACAAAAAAGAGTGCGTACACGAAAGTGGTTCCGGTGAGAAAAGGCACAGCAGGGAATCGGCTGGTGCGCCATCCAACTCTGGCCCATGGCCGTTTTTGTGCCAAAGGCTTTTGTTCTTGCTGGCCCCCTCGTAGCCCAAAATGTAATGTCAGCTCTTTGGCGTTGCCGAACAACATAATCAGGATGGGCTGCAATTTGTGGACACTCTGAGGGGCCCGCCATACTGCCACTGGAAGTCCATCTGGCGTCATGAGGACCATGAACTTATTGTGGCCTCCGAGACTCGGTTCGCCAATGAACTCAAGTGCCTTTGCAGAGGCCTGGACATGAGGCAGCCGTAAACGTGCTGAAACCCCTCTTGTTTGAGCATACTCCTGCGGGTGTACCTCATGGAAGGCCTCCAAAAAAGGGGTTGCTTTCCATTTCCCTTCCCAACACGAAAAGACTGGGTTTTAGTAGGGAGGTTAGAATAAGGGTACCCTTTTTTCTGTAGTCTATTTTAGTAGGGGAGCCCTCCACCAAAAAAGGGCAAAGGGCACTGGGAGACCTATAAAAGGTGCCCTCCAAAAGTTGGAAACCCATGGCTTCCCTTGAACCACATGGGTCGGACCGGACACAACCCGAGAGCGCCCACGGCCCCAGGCCGATGGCGGAGGGCGGCTTCCTGCGGAAGATCACGCACCTCGGGTGGCGAAACGCTGCTTCTCGGCAAATCTGCTGGTGGATTGTACGACATGTTAATTCTTCTTGAGTAGAATCGCCTGATTATTGATTGAAACACCACAATTGTTTTTCATTGGATTTTTGTTAAGGCTCACTTCCTGAGTGGATTGGCCAAAAAAAGTTAAAACTTGCCACTTACAACTACGACGGTCTTCCCCCGAAAGTGCAATCCAGGAGTCAGGGAGTGAGAAGAGAGCCCACAAGATAGCAGGACACTCCAGGAACGGGAAGAATGAGAAGGGACTCGCCCCTGATGGGCTTGCGGCACTTTTCTGGGGTTTGTAACTCAACTTGTCGGCTGGACTGGACGCCGGGCCCGGGGACTAAAAAAAACCACGGACCCTTAGAGCAACTTGGGGTGAGCTCAGCCGAAGAAGCCTGGCACGCGTCAGGCCGGCGCCCAAGTCCGCACGTCCGAATGGCTGCCTTGACCTATAGTTCGGGCTTGCCTGCCGCCTTGCTACCCCCTCAGTCGCGCCCCTGGCAAACACCTGTTTTGACCTATTTGCTTAAGTCCCAACAAACAAACACAAGAGTAGTGATAGATTTCCTTGAGAACGAACAAGGGGAAATAACGCAAATTGAGAGTTAAGGGCTTTTGACCCTTTTGACCCTACCAAGGCAAGCCTCCCTGCCGACACCGCTCAACCAGGGCCCCTGCCCCGAATCCAGGAGGCCCGCTTCAGCCAGGGCCCAGTAGTTCAGGTGTTGCGGCCCCTTCTGTGTCCAAACCTTCGATAGTCGCCAAGCGAAAACAAAACAAAACAACAAAACAAGCGGCCTACCTTGGACCAACAAACCTTGAAATGAAGGGGTTCCTTTTTAGGCGAAGAAACATGAGCATTCCCCACAGACCTAGCATGATCTTGCGATCATTCGGCACCGCGAGCTAGGCAACTAATCGGACACTCCTGGCGTTATTGCAGCATCTCAGCTCGACTTCACATTAGGTCACAATCAAACCTGGCAATGCCGTTTAAGGCAACGCAAGAAGGCCCGCTGCCTTTCCTCAACTTGCAACCTTCATCTGTTGATTGCTCTCTTTCTTGGGATCTCGGCATGCCCAATCATGTTTTCCACCAACACTGGGCCTTAGATGCGCGGCATGTCCCGTGCCTTGCGGTCCTCAGACCAAGCAGCCTGCTTCCAATCCACCACCTCAGCCGGCCGCTGCCCCGGTGGACGTCTCGGCCAGTGCCAGAAAGCATTCAACCACAGCCAGACACCAAACCGTAGCATTGTGCAACTTAGGGCACCGTACCTAACCAAAAGCACAAGCCAAGACCGTGGCGATCTGAACCGAAGCACCGCGCCTGGCGCAAAGCTTCATTGGACCAAAGGTTGATGAGAGCCGAATGGGTTTCGCCTCTCCAAATAGAGGGGCCCTCACAAACACCCCCAGAACTGGACCACACATCCAAATGTGCAATGAGAAGACTGAAGGCGGGCCCTGAAAATGGTTGTGCTTCGGCTTCTCTTTGGTCGTGGATTCCCTTAAGAACACCCCCAAAGCCGGGACCGCAAACCGCACGTGCAAATGCGCAATTATGAGGAGGAGAGGCCTTTTCGCTCTTTCAGCCTCTTCAGGTGCACACCAGACAACTGGAGCCAGCCTACTCCTTCAAACCTGCGCTCAAGCATCGACCTTCAACTTGCCCTACATGCAAATCAGCAAAGGACATTGTTTTATTCTTATTGAGTGTACCTTTCTTTTGTTCGACAGGGAATCCAAACAGGAAACTAAGCATGTGTTAGGTCCACGATTTTAAGACATGCATCCACATATGAGACTCCTGGTGAGCCCGATCTTTCTGCATCCTGCCTGCGGGCGGCAGACAAGGCTCGCATCACAGGCGGGTAGTGCCTCGGGTTCGGAGTTCAGGAAGACACAGGAAGGAGACCCTCTCGCCGATGTGCAACTGCCAAGGAAGGTTTACGGTGCAGTTCCTGAAATTACTCGGTTGGTCTTGTTCCCTATTTGGAGAGAGCGACGGTAGTGACAATGCAGCCTCACATCATAGCTTGCCTGCATGCTTTCAATGGGCCAAAGGGAATTCCCCCCAACTCCATTCCGACACACGGCCGCGCGGCTATGCGCAAGATCCACGGGCCCGTGATTGTTCACCAATTCAGCCGACCATTTAGGGCAAACCCCGTACCCTCCACGAGGAGGAAGACATGCTGTGTGTGTGAGTCGTTTTGATGGTAGTATTTTCTTGTGGCTTTCAATGGTCAGGAAAACCACGTTTTTTTTAAGGATCCCTTATACTTATAGACGGACAAGCCTAGAAGGGGCAATCCTTTTAACAGGGCAGTTTAAGGCTCTTGGTTTGACACCCTGGATTTGTCTCCAAATGGTTGGTGACCCTTGAAGCGTCCTCGAACAAACATCCTTACGATTCCTCCCACCCAGGTGAAAAAACCAAGAGTAATACATTTTTTGGGGGAGAGGATTGATCTGCTTGTTGTTTGGGGAACGCCCCCCCCCCCCCCATCTTTCATACGTACAAGTTTCCCTTTTCATGTCCTCCATCCAAGCGCCGGGCGCCTCATACAAGGCGCAGCGCAGGGACCAGCCCTCCTCGGCCCGATTGATGAAGCCGAGCATGGCCTGGCGGGAATTCGACCCCCAAACCCAAACAAAACTTTGGGGGCCATGACTCAAAAATGGATCAAAAAGAAAAAGCAACAGGTCAAAGGGTCGACTCGCTTTGGGCAAGTGAGGCAACCCTCAAGACAGGATTACACTCTTTGCTACCGTTATCATTCTAGACAAGGGAAAAGATGTAAGATGCTACCAAACGTTGAAACCAGAGGGGGTGCTGGCCCCTCGTAATTCAAACTGTTTATACCTTGGTATTATATGTTGGCCATTGATCAGGAACTTGCACACCCTTGCGCTTCTTACACAGATCTCAGGGAAACCCTCGTTTTGAAACGACTCTCCAGACTTTAACAACCATGTCAAGGATGCGCGTTGACATGGACATCAGCTAGGATTTCTGCCACATACAAACTGGCTTTGGCTCCAATAAGCAAAATAAGCAGCTGGTTTCTCAGGACAAGGTATTTCGAGGTCGGTGTGCATTTAAATAATAATACCCCACAAACTGTTGATTCTCCTTCTGGCTTCCTTAAGAACCACCCCAACCAATGTGCCCTCAAACAACACACGCACATCTTTCCGTTGCAGGAGATCTTGTGGGCTCTCAGATCGTGGAGGCCACCGAGTTGGTCAACTTTAAGTTGGAAGAAGCCATCGGTGGGAAGAAGCGCTGCCTGCAGCCAAAACCTACGACTTCATTTTGCTTCAGATTGCCCAGTGCAAAGGTGCCCCTTGCCCGGTTCGCTTCTATTTCAGCTGCCTCCCGGTTGAACATGTGGTCGCAATGCTGGAGGTTTGGGCTCATAACTCCGAGCCTCTAGCTCGGTCAGATGGCAGTGAACGCGGGAATCCTGAAACTGGCTGGTTTCCATCCGAAAAGGGTGGGTTGCTCAACACCATCCAAAGCGGGCCCAGCTCCACAAAGGATCGCAACATTGTTGGCTTCACTTCAGTCACATCAAAGCATTCAAACTCCAAACTTACAAAGGGCAATCATGCCGCGCACACACACACACAAAACAGCCAAGGTGAAGGCTGTTCGATCTTGAGCTTCAACCTAGGTCAGTGGTTTATAACCATGGTTTGTCACGACCCTAGTTGCGTGCCCCAGACCCAATTGGTTTTGTTTTGCCCTCCCTGAGTTCAACTGGACGCAAGAGCACTTTTCACTTTTTTGGGGCTTGGACCAACTCAAGTGCGATACCCAATCATTCGCTGACTGGAGCCCGAGTGTCGCACACACACAAGTGGCTCAAGATGTCCACCAGAAACTTGTCTTTGTTTGGTAAGTTGGGAAACCCAGAGGAAGACTTCCCCAAATTTCATTTTTGGGGGGCCAACCTCAAAATAGAAACCCCAAACCCGAGAGGAAAACCAAACCCTGCCAGTTTTGGGGGGTCCAAAACCTAAAACGACCGACACCGCCCGACCGCTGGGGATGGGTGGCGGGCTGGGCCTCCTCCAAGCCCCGGGAGAGCCACTGCCACTGCTCCAAGCTCCTCGGGCCCTGCCTGGGAGCTCGGCGGATTCACGCGCAAGGAGTGAGACAAGAGGCGAATTTTGCTCTGGTCAAAAGGTCGAAAATGAGGTAACCCAATCAAAAGCTCGATCCCCTGGCAAGGAAGCAATGAAGCTGCCGAAACGTCGACTCGCTTTGGGCAAAGGCCAATGGCCGAGCTCCAGGCTCCTTGGTGCCCATGGCGAGGCGCGCGAAGCGCTGAGACCCCGCCACGCCCCGGTTGAAGTGCACCTCCCATGTCGGACCCACGGGACATGGGGTGCACGTGGCTTTTTGGAGGGAACCCGTTTTAAGGTTGGGGTTGTCAGGGCTGCCAACAGGAAAACCATCTTTGTTTGGGGTCCTTTCATTTTGGCACACACCCATATGGTTGTTGAAGATAGCCTTTCATACCCCCATGGGCTATCGAACAACTTATTGAGGGTGGACGGAGGGGATCCCCTGCAGTTCTGCACTGTTGGAAGTGTTGGCTTTTTGCGGGGAGTTGGACGGTCTAAAAGCAGAATGGGCTTAACTGGGGAACTTAACTGGGGGCTGAATCGGGAATGCAGCCCTTAGCAAACAGCTAAAGAAAGATCGAGCAATGTCTTTGAGAAGCTTCACCCGACGCTGTGCCTGGCGTGTGACGTCCTTGTTACTGTTAGAGACAATGACAACCAGACTTCCAATGGTGGCCTCTGAAGGCGCTGCACTGGTAGCGCTTTTTTCCGAATCTCTCCAGTTGCTGGCTTGGATTGGTGAGGGTTCTGGCGGTGTCCTCCCATCCGTCAACAGTTCGGTTCAAGGAACCAATCCAAACCACCAGTTGAGGTCAACATGAATTACTGTGGCTCACCAACCTGAATTAAGGGGAACCCCTAGAGACCTTTTTGCCACACCTGGATGTTTCTTTTTCTCTACTTGCACCATTTAGGCAAGCAACAGCTATCACCTACATGGGTGTGCCTTTTCTGAGGGCAATTGTTTAGGAAAAAGGAACGCCACCATTTTCGGGGGGGGGGGGGGATGTATCTGTGTAACCGCCACGCCCCCGCGTTGCATGCTGTTGGATGCTTGGACCCCGCCCAGAGGCGATTGTGCCGGACCCTCCTCGCCGGTGCGAGGGAAACTTAAGAGGAGCCCACCGGCTGGTTAAGCCCTTCTTTTGCTGAAGTCCTGGAACAAAGCCATATTTCCTGTAGTCATAGCTTCCAGATAACACCAGCAGGGGACAATTAACACATAATGGACAGAAACCATTGCAGAAAACACCCAGCACATCTGCCGCGCAGCGGATGAGTGCCTGGTCACCATCAGTCTCCTGCGTGTCCACTTGCAACTGCACCTCAGCTTGATTCAGCCTACACAGCCGCTTTTGCACAGTTTGTTACCTTCATTCCAGGGCAGTTCCACGTATGGTGTTTGGAGGTATGGATGCTTATTGAATCTAAGTGGGATATAACCTCCATATCTCTAATACCCATACCTGAAAAATCCCTTCATGTTTCCCCGCGGTTTCCCCTTTCCAAGGTCGCAACTTGGGTTGTACGACCAGCCAAAGAGCACTGACCACAGTGAACCGGAGGTCTTCCCCATGCAAAACACAATGGTCTGTCTTGTAGGGGTGCTCCCCTTTTGGAGTTGTTGCAAAGGGACAACCGTTGTGCCATTCCGAATCCTAAAAAGAGACACACCCATGTGCTACCAGCTGACTGAAAGGTGCTTGTTGGACTTCCAACCGTTCAACCAGCTTCCTTCCAGTTGGAGGTGTGGATTGGTGGTTCGGATTGGTATTCCCGGGTTGGTTTTCCATGTACCCTCTACAAGAACCGGGAGTTCAAAGTCCCAAGCCACCAATCCAAACCGCCGACCAAGAAGAACCGGATTCAATAGGCCACACGCTTCTGTTCTTCATGCGCCTTGATTCGCTGATAGTTGGGGGTCTAAGCTTGGGAATTGGTGGGGTCCTTCTGCGAACGGCCACCTGTGAAATCATCACGGAGAAAAATACACGGTACGTATACACTCAAGACAGGAAACATGTGTTCACAATTGCCAACATTGGCCCCTGATTGCCGGATAGCAGGAACATGGCTCCGAAAGCGGCATTGACAAAGTTTACTTTGATAAAACGCGTGGCCGTGGAAAAAACATCCCATGGCTGGCATACCAAAGTCTGCCATATCCATGACTACTTTGTCACCTTAGAGAGGGTTGCGATAGTATAACAGAACATGGCTCCACCATCCAGCTGTCGAAACCATCTGGGCAAGACATAACAACACACATCAAAACACCCTGGGCGAGGTCGCAGACCACCACCTTTCGTGCAAGCACAATTGCTTGCCGAGAACAACCAATCAGGAACTGGAAATCATGCGGGCTGGCTTCACATGATTTCCCCTTGTTCCAAAAAACAACAAAACAAAAAATATGGGGACACGTATTCAAATGGCGGCCGGTTGAAGGCTGTGGACCCTTTGCTGGTGGAAATAATTGACAAGCACCAGTCGCACTCGCGATCCGCCCGCGCCTGAGCAGCCACGTGCAACCCAGGCCCTGCCGTGGAGGGACCTGGCCAGATCCACGGAAGGGCGCCAGGAAAGGTTCTTCGGCACGTTCCACATTTTTTCCTCTTCAAGGCTTTCGGGGCTACGCGGTTGTCCTTCTGTCTCAGCTGAGTAAAAGCCCAAGCCGGTGGCGGGAATTGTGATCATTCTTGCTTTCAAAACGACGGGCAGGGTTGGTTCGAAGGGCCCCTAAATGGCCCTAAATGTTGTGTTCTGGTCAGATGCGTCGGACATGGGAGGAACCCCAGCCTGCTTTGAATCCTCTTGTCTCCAAAACAATAATCCTTCCCAACTTGAGGGCGGCCCCATTTGGCACTCGGCAGTGGCGCCTGCTTTGATTCACCATGAACGTAAACATGTGAAGCCCCTGGTCGCAGCTCCTTTGCCCTCAGGCCGACTCACTACCCTAAATTGGCAAGCATCAGTCAGAACCAAAAGATGCCAAAAGGGCTTCAAATGAGAATCATCCAGGCCCTCTGTGCAGGTAAGTGCCTTTCTGAAGCAATTGAGCACAAAAGAATAAAAGGAATGATTTCACACAAGGTTTGGGTAATGGAGGGTTGCTCTTAAGCAGGGGTTCAACACTTTTGTGAGATCCCTCTAGGTTCAACAAAAAGCAAGGACATGCGACTTGGCTACACCCCTCCTGCACCACTGGCCGAAACCAGACCTGCTAGGTATAAGGGATCTCTTTGCTATGGGCCCTTCAAAACAGAGGGTTGGGCAACTCATAGCTTCGCCTAAGCAGGACATAGCAGCACATTAACAAGGGTCTCCCCCCTCGCAATGAGAAAGCGATTTAAGATCACTTGCACACCCGAGGAGTACCGTGCTTCAGCTCTGATCCCTTCAGTCGCCCTTCCTGAACTCAGGATCCTCATTGCTCCCGTGGATGCCCTAAATATTGCAAATAAACCAACCAAAACCACGCAAAGAACCATTGGAAATTGCGGGCGCCCACCGTCTTTTGGCGGCTTGATTGTTTGCTGCCTGGAGCGGTGTGACTAAACCCCTGTTACGCCGGCAGACCTCCTGAACAGCACCGTGCTGTCTACCAGGCCGAATTGCCCGCATCTGGAGTAACGGAGAGTCTTTGTGCTTTGGCATTGCCACCTGCAAGAGAAACTGGACATCAACAAACAAAAAAGAAACCATAGTTCACTGCAAAACTGGACAGGACACCCATGACCGCAGCCCTACCTGGCACCTATAGAGGTCCACTTTCCCCACGGGCCGTTCAGGCTGCACCCCCAATTTGTGTTTTTCACATATGACAAGCTCCTACAAACGAGCCTCAGGTACAAGCCACATGTGGCTAAAATGTGCGGCTAAGGCACCAACCTTTCTGCTTGGCTGACGTTGGAAGGGGAGCAACAAATTAACTTTTAGCAGCTAAGTGGGGATTTCCCCACTAAACCACGAGAAGCAAACATGTAAAGTGTGTCCCAACGACCATGTCTATAGGGACAAAGGTCAAAAGGTGCGTTCGCTTTGGGTAAGTGAGCTCGTCATGAGTGCTCTGCATGTCGCACGCCGTGCCTTGGTCTCGGGCATCCTGCACCCCAAGCTCTTCATCCCCACGCACGGCGTAGAGCGTGTAGGAGTACCTCAGGCCACACAAACCGAAAACACACATAATTAAATAAAGCAACACACAAACAAACGAACAAACAAACAAACAAACAAACAAACAAACAAGCAAGCAAGCAAACAAGCAAACAAACAAACACACAGACACACACGCACAGGCGCGAACAAACACTATTGCTTCAGGAAATCTACCAGTTTGTCACTCCAACTCGGTCCAGGATCAGCAATACCGACTTATTCTACCCTCACATTCACATGAAAGCTGCTAGCTTTCCGGATCGAGTCAAGTGGTGCTCCAGGCCCAGTCAATCAAACTCCAACAAGGACGCTGAAGGAATAGGACACGCTAATAAAGCTGACTCAAAATAGCCCTTGAAAACGACCCTCAAACGAGTACCACATCCACATAGGAACCGCCAACATGTGTGGGTTTCCTTTGGCATGCCTTAAAGGGGGACCAAACCAAAAATGTGGGAACGCCCCAACTTGGGGAACCTCCCTTCCAAGTCCCTTCACCTCCCAAAGGGGTGGAAAGTTCATCGAGTCCGAGGATTCCTCCAGGGCCATGGCTGAGAGTTAGGCTCCACCGTGTAGTCCCCTGCAGAAACACCACTGAGGCTGAGGCAACCCGAACCGGAACCGCGAGAAGGGGGGATGAGGGCAGACATCTTAGAAATCCGGCCAAGAAACCATTCACAGCCAGCCTAATTTATATAAGGCCATTTTACAACCTCGGCTTTTGACATGTTGGATGCTGGTCCACATTTAGCGAATCGTGAAATGCGTAAATCCAGCTTAGCGGTGTCCGACTCTCTATGGTCTGTTGGTGTGTCGATCTAACAGGTGGATCTATAAATTATGCAAGTTTTGCTGCCGAGGCTGCCAGCCATGGCGCGAAGGACCCTCTTTCGTTTCTGGGGCAAAACGCACAGTACATCCAAGTGCGGAGTCACGGGAAAGCCAGCTGCGGCAACCCTGTGTGGACCGAGCTTTGGTTTCTGACCCGAGCGCAAAGATGACAAAACAAAGCCGAGGAACGAAGCAGAAGAGACCTCCAGTGGCCACTGAGAAAAAAAGGGGCGCCTTTTCTTTGGCAGCTGATGTTAAAGGGAAGCCCCTTTCATGAGCACAAGCAACTGAGCAGGGCACTGGAGAACTCGGGGGTAGCTGCATGAAAGTCTTTAGAGGTCGGGCATGACATGCTAGAATCCAGCCAAACACGCCGCTCATCTGCAACACGCGCAAGGGTGGATATTGCAAGTAGTGGAACAAGGGAAAGCCTGCAACTTACGGCAGCGTGCGAGGGTATGCGATTGGATCACTTGCAACATCCGTGGCCGAACTTGGATCCCCTGCGGAAAAGCTGAGGTGTTGTTCGTCAAAAGGGAAGCTGAAGGGATCCCCACCTGCAAGGATCACCATTGACCCGCTTAGCTTGGATTCTTTGAGTAAGGTGCCCACGAACCCTAAGGAACTCTGAGAAATTTTGAGAAACCTTATGACTCCCTACACAACCCCCATGAAACCTACTGAACTCCCGGAAGCGAGCGATTCTTCACGCAGCCAAAGCGCCCCACTTGAAGTCGCGGATGGCACATCTCAGGGCCTCAAACGGGGCTCCCTGTTCCGGTGTCCAACCGACAGGTCGGCCCCAGATGATTGAAGGCGGCCAACCCAGAAGCCTCTTATGCGGGCGTTCCCTGATCCCTAATCGGTCACGCCCCTCCTGTGAGAAGCACCGGGGGTGAAGCGCCCAAGCAGAGGGGGACTCTCCCCAATTGCAACCAGTGACCGAGACGGTAGAAAATGGAACGGGCTGGACCCTTGGGCGCGAAAATGCGGCGAAACATGCCTTTCGTGCAAAGCCTGCCCTGCAAACATGGCCACAGAGCCATCCAAAAAGTTGATCCCAGTTGCCAAGAGAGGCCTGGACGAAAAATAGACCAAAAAGGGGAACCGAAAGGTCAAAAAATCGTTTTGCTTCGGGCAAGTGAAGGGAAACAATGTCTACCAATAATGCCCCAAGATGCCAAGGATTCAGGGGTTTCGCTCCGGCCCTTGTCCAGTTTCCCCACCTTTGCCGGGAGCAAGCGACATCGAAGCCACATGTTCCATGGAACTCTCGACGCATTCAAACTTCGAAGCCGCAATCTGCACAGTTGAAACTGCATGTCCAATCTTGCACTCGGCTTTCTGTTGGCAAACCCAAGACAAAGAGATTGCCCTTGAGGTCCAACCAGCTCGCCAGCTGAGTGAAGGCCAAGGCACCGGGCCCTTTGCCATCCCCCGCCTGGAGCAGTCGTCTCCTGGCAGCCCTAAGCCCTGGTTCGCTCAAGCGCACATGGGTGTTGCGCAGAATTGGCCAAAAGATGCCAAAAGGGTCCGATTCCTATTTTGAGAAGCCGTTTTCCGGTACAAAATCCTTCTGACGGTTAAGGCTGTCTACGATGATCGGAGGGTTTGGGTTGGCGACGAAGCGGAAGTCGATAAGCAAACCTTGCGCGCCCCATGGCCATGATGCCGTGAGTGTGCCCCCTTCCGAGTTCGTCCAACCTGTCGCTGTGTTCAAAACCCTCTTGGCCAGTGAGCCCTTGCACAGACCCGGCAGCTCACAGTGGGCCCGTCAAAAGTGAAGGGGCCTCGACAAATCGATAGCTACCCCCTTGTAGCGCTTGACTTCAGCGAGACTGGCAAAATAAATGGGATCTACAGAAGGATGTCTACCCATTAATTAACCAACCCCTGACTGACCAGGTTCCCAACGTCAGAAAACAAGAAAGTTAACAACTGACTCAGCTGTTAGCAACTGACTCAGCTGCCCAAAGGAGCAAACAAAATGTGATCTTGCGGGGTGACCAAAGGTGAGCCAAACCACACGACACGAAAAGTCAACTAAGACTAGATGCCCTTCGCCGCCACTCGTCCCCTAGAATTGTACCAAGCCTTTGGTTCAACATGCACCCAACGCTATGGTCAAAAGTCTTCGCGCCACGACACCGACATGAGAATTTGGGAATCAAACCCCTGCCCCCCCTTGCGTGCTCAAGCCACTTGTCAAGTAAGATGTAATTCGTATAACCTTCTAAGGGGGCGAACCCCCTGTTCCAGGTTGTACCCCGGCTAACCTCTAACCCTTTCCTAGAGGTGGAGGTACCTGATGCGCAGTATGGTCGTGTCCGCGGAGGCTGCTAGTTAGCCAGCTGGCTAGTCAGTTAGTTGTAGTCAGTCAGTCAGACAGCCAGCCAGCCAGCCAGTCAGGCAGTCAGTCAGCTGGTCAGTCATTCTCTTAGTTAGTTAGTTATCTGGTCACTCACACCGCAAGCTCTGCAGAAGAAATAATGAAACAAGAAATTGACGGTCTCAGCTTGCCAAATTAAGTAGGTCGCAACTGCATTTGCAATTGAGCCCTCCTGAATTTAAATTGCCAAAATTCTTATAATTCTTAGCGATAAAGAGGGCGTGTTTGACCATCAGGGAGGTGCTAAGCAATCCAGGGACTCAATTTCGTCGCGGCCTTTTGTGGCGCTGAGCGGCTTAATTTCTTGGCGGCCTTTGTTGGTGTAGTGGTATCACGGCCACCCCTGCATATATATTCTGCATTCTGCATTGGTTCAATCCCTAGTGCGTGCATTTGAGGGGTTGAATTGGGCCACTGAGCTTCTTAGCCAAGAAGTCCTTCATCGCCCGAAAAGGCCCGCTAAGAAATTAAGAAATTCAGCCCCTGAATTTCTTAGCAAAGGAGCCTTGCTGAGATGGTGAAGCTCTTAAAGGATGAGTGATGAGGGCAGGTCGGACAAAAAGATCAACGTGATCCTTGGTGAGCTTGACAGATGGATCCAGCCGTGGGTCATCAAGGTGGCAGCAAACAAGAGGCATGGAAATGATTTCAGTTTCGGAATGTGCGCCTGACGCGCAGGATCGGTACCTGACGCACGGGACAGGGGAGGTGGCGGAAGGGGTGGGTTGTATACTTGCCGCGCGCGCGGCATCGTCTCCCTGATGGAGATGACAGCACCTGTGGATCAGGCTTTGGAGGAGGACAGAAAGGAGCCACCTGATGTGCGGGAGCGGATGGGGTCGGGACAGGACGAGGTAGTACCTGACGTGCGGGAGCAGGACAAGCACCTGACGCGTGGGAGGGGGGATAGCACCTGACGCGCGGGATCGGGATAGGTCGGGATAGGCGGCGGGATCGGGATAGGACGTACTTGACGGGGGATAGTACCTGACGCACGGGCTAGACTCAGGTTCACATACTTGCTTTCTTTTTGAATACCCGCTTTTGACATTGCTGCTGGCAGAATGAAGCTATGTTGTTTCGCCCTCAAACCTGACCAACGCATCGATGTGGTAGGAAGCAGCACTCGACTGGCGCAACATAGAACTGTGACGGATAGTACCTGACAGGATAGGAGGCCCCTGATGCGCGCGAGGGGGGATAATGCTTGACGCGGGAGAGGAGGGATCGGGATAGGGGGTACCTGAAGCGCAGCAGCCCCGGGGGATAGTACCTGAAGCGCAGGGGGTATTTGACGCGATGGTACCTGACGATAGGAGCCCTGCGGAAGGGTGGATAGTTCGGAGGCGGTAGGAGCTACTTGACGCGCAGGAGGGGGGACAGTGCCTGACGTACGGACTGGGTGGGGTGCCTGAAACCATGGCTGCAACCTACTGGGTTATAACCCTGGATATACGAGTTACTCAGTTACATCCTTCTTACTAAGTTGGCTGAACATGCAGGCAGCTCCAGTTGCCGCCTTTTTCCTTTGGCTCTCGGCAACAGCCGCCTTCGCCTTCAGCCGCAGGCCTGCCACCACCTCCAGGCGCACCGCGGCCTCGCGCTCTGCGCGAAATGTGGGCGCCAGCGAGGCGTCGAAGGCGGCGAGGGTCTCCGGCGTGCCTGAACTGCGAGCTAAGCAAACCAAGCACACCCACAAAATCATGGGAAATTACGGCACAGGGAGTTCCCTGATTCCCATACTCGCTCCACCGCAACCCCATGGTTCTGAAGGGACGCCAAAGAAAATCAAAGAAAAACCCTTCTGGGAGTTCATCTGCAAATTCAACAATCTTTATGAGGTTGCTTTAGGCAACTTGCGGGTTTCTTCATGAACAACAAAAAAGCGAGAAAAACAGTGTAATTGAACATTGAGGCCAGAAAGAAAGTGTGAAATGAAAAGCGGAAAAAAAGGGGAAACAAAAGCAGCTACTTTTCGTTGCCAAAAGGAACATGACGCAAAATTGCAAAGTGTGCTTGGCAAGGCGTGGGTGCAAAGAGCCTAGCAGGCAAGCGCGGCGCAACTTTCTGTTTCCGAGCTAGAGAGTCTGAACTTGGCGGGCAGACGGAGACGGAAGGGGACGCGAGCCCAAGCAGCGGCGAGGCAGGCTCAGCAACAGGCCCTGGGAGGCCGCAGTGGGGTCTCCACCGCGTCCGGGGGTCTAGTCCGGGGACACGGTCTGGCGCCGGTCAGCGGCCCCGCCGAGTCCCCGGCGGGCGGACTCCGATCCGCGGCAGGCGGACTCCGAAACAGGACTGCCGGGGAAAAAATCAAGAAAAAGAAGCGAGAACAAAGCGAGAACAAAGCGAGAACAAAGCGAAACAAAAAACATTATATAAAAAAGCGGGAAACGAAGCAACAGCGGATGGGGCTCACTTCCGAAGAGCGAAAAAAGTGCAACCTGCGCCGAGTGTTTTGCGCAATTGTCAAGTTCAGCCGCGTGTGGCACTTTGCGTTTCTGCCTCCTTCTTTTGTGGTGTTGCTTGTCACTTGCTCCGTTTGCCCCGAGCGCGGTGTGCTTCTCTCGCCTTTTCTCATGGTTGTGCGACTTTCTGGAGTGTTCGTTCTTTTATCCACGTGCGTCTGAGTTTGTGCTTCTCTTTTTCTGTGTGTTGTGTTGCTTTTCCTATTCGCTCTTTTGTTGCTTTCTAGTTTACACTTCTGTTTTTGTGAGGAGACAATTTTATTTGCTTTTATTTACATGGCTCTTGCGCCTTCTTCTTTTTTTGAAAAAGCTCCTGCAAAAATATAGAACTTGGCTCCAGCCAACCTCATAATGCAATCTATTTCTACAGCCTTAAGTAAGAACTAGATCCAAGCAAAGGACCTCCGTCGTTGGCTTCCGCGCGTTTGACTCTTGACTGGTGGGCTTGCCATAAAATCGGCAGGCTGATAGCCCTCCGAAAGGAGTGATTTTTAATGGCAATCAACGGAACAACCTTTCTATGGGCTAACAAGGTCGGCTTTGCACCAGCTGGTAGCTAGCTTCATCCACACCAACTGCTGCGAACTGGATTTGTTCATCCACAGTAGGATAAACCCATTCACAGTAGGATAAACCCCTGGTGACTGGTTGACATAGGATGCCCATTAGAAGCAAAAACGCACACACACACAAAGAAATTTGCCCCGGGTTCTTTAGTCAAACCCAGCGGGTGCTAGAGGGCGCCTTTGCAGAAGTCTCGGCTGCCAGCTTGCTGGAAAAGAGAAAATGGGTGATATTTATCTGGCGTCAACATTACATCAGCTGGTTCTGTTCTTCCTCAGAGAAAGCCACGCCAGACGTATAACGCCTGGTTCCATGTAGCAAAGGGGCCTTTGCTGGGCCTCCTTCTGCCAAGGTTCGGGGGTCGAAGCTCGTGTCCTCATCCAGCAGCTGGGCTAAATGGTCGAAGCCCTCCTGGCATGTTGATCAGCCACAGGCCTCGTTGCGCCTGAGCTACTTGTCTCATTACGGGGCCTGATTTTATGAGGAAGTTCCAAACTGTGTCCGAAAGGTAGCCCCAGGAGCTACTTGTTGAAGACCCTTTAATTTACAAGTTCACACTCGCGTGGTCCCAGCCACTACTCAAAACAACGCATAAGCACCCACAAGTGTGGCTGAGTTCAAAAACTGTTCCTTCGATTCGATGGCGATCGCAGCTCCTTCCGCGCCAGTGCCGCAAAGGGCGCCCGGTCCGCTCGCAGGTAGCAGGACCTCCGTTGCTTCAAACCAACAACAAAGGTTAAACCTTTGGTTCCACGACTTACATGCACCAAAACAAGACCTTCGAAGAGTAAAGATGGACCAAAACAGAATGGACCAAAACAGGAAAAACAAATGGATAGAAGGCCGATTCGCTGTGGGCCAAGAGACCGCCCCAGGCGCCCCAGTGCCGCGAACTTGGCGAAGCGGTCGAAGGCCTGCCTTGACGCGAAGAGCGCATCCACCTCGAAAAAACAAGGCTGGGGCTGGGTTTTGGAGGGAACCTGTGGGGTGGGTGAGGGAACCAATGGGAAAACTTGTGTTTTTTTTCTGCGCCCCTATT